TTGGTTGTGCACCATATTTTTTCTTATTTCCTTTTTATTTCTCTGCTCTAATAAACAGTTATGCACAGAACATCACTGTGCACACATCTTTATATATGTGTGCCACTGTTTTCTGCAGGATAAATTCCCAGAAGCAGGATTGCAGGCGTAGAGAATTTGCTCTTTTTGGGTTTAAAGGATACAACTAGTGAGAAATGTGCTGGAGCCTGCTTGTATTACCTTGTGTTAAATTTTCAGGAATTCTGAGAGCTGGTTGTTAAACACAATCACTAGTAAAAATTAAATTGTATTAATTTAATTATGTACACACATAAATAGGTCATGTTAAAAACAAAGGTAAATACTGAAAATACATTCCTTCCTAATTATGTTACGATATTGTACTATTATCTATGTTGTTGTTACCTGTGTTCATGTCTCTTGTGTCTGGACAGTGGAAATACAACACAAAGGCGCTACTTTGTATCTCTTCTTCACTTCCCAAGCAGGCATATTGACAGCTTGAAATCAGCCATGAGGGCAGTATTTACCCAGTGGAAACCCCCTACCCCTTTTTCCAGAGCACCAGTGATTAAACATGTACCAGGCCACAAGTGTAAACAACTGAATTACCCTCCCAAAAGGTTATCCTGAGCTACACTTCCACCACAAGTGTATTGAATCTTGCCTTCTTAATACTTTTTCATGATTTTTTCTTGTTGTTAATGAGCATTTTCATTTGTGTGTCTTTGTGCATCATTGCAGATGTCCATTGGCTCTTGGTACACTGTGAGTTGCCTGTTTACCCTTTAGCTTATTTTTCTACTAGGCTAACTGATGTTAAAAAAAAAAAAAAAGGTCAAGGGGGTGAGAAAAAAGAACTCAGAGGTCTGTGTTGTATAGCGGAGATAATAACATTTTGTCTGCCATTTTTGGCAAATATTTTTCTCCCAGTTCCTCTTTTAGCTTTACTTATAATGTCTTTCTTCTGCCCATACCGAGTTTTTTTTCTCTTTGTATAGTCCAGTGTGTCCACTTTTTCCAGTGTCACTTTGAGAATACCATTTCTTAAGAAAAATACATCTAAATGTGCCTAGAAGGACCTGAAAGGCTGTATATGAAATGCTCTTGTTTTCTGGGTGGGGCGGTGTCTGGGTGGGGCGGCTTCTGCCTCTGTGTGTGTGTGGTATGTCTGTGCATGTGTGTCACACGTGTGCTGTTGGCTCTGACTCCCGTGTTCTCCATTTGTTCACATGTGGTTTCCCCATGTGTCAGGTGGGAATTGAAGGAATAGTGGATGTACTGGACCCACGAGGATACCCAGGAAGGTGCATTGGTTATTTTCTGAAGTTTCTGCAAGGACCATGATTGATTTTACGAGAACAATTTTTCAAAAGAAGCTCTGACATCTGTCTTCTTTGAAGTGTGGGCTGTAGGTCGGGCTCCTGGCTGGCGCCCTGGCGCACCTTGTCTGCTACATGACTGGGTGCTGGGGCAGGACCCACCTCCTCCCAGCATGTCGAGTCTGGCAAGCGGGGGCCTTCCCCCCAAGCCTGCTGGCTTCTCGAAGGCCCCAGTACCCCTCCAGAGCCGCTGGGTATGGTCGGGCCAGTTGGGCCCTGCGCAGGTCCCGGTCTGCGCCGGCAGGGGGCGCCGTTCCCTAAGTTCTCGGGGGCCGCGCCCCGCGCACCCGGGACCCCGCCGTGGGCTCTGGGCGGGTGAGGGACAAGCCCGGCTGACCCGGGTCCCAGAGGAGTCCGAAGCGAGCAGCCCCGGGGGGTCCGGCCTCGCCAGGGATCTGCCACCCTACTCCCGAGGGGCTGGAGCCGCACGCCTGCGCCCCGATGTGGCCGCAGCCTAGGGCATGTGGGTCACGGGTTACGACGTGGGCTTTGGGACCCGCCTTCCCAAACTCGCCTCAGGCCCCAGGGGTGGGGGCGACCTGAACCCTCTCCCTCGACCACCCAGGGTGCCCGGATGTGACAGTGACGGCTGTGGCTCAGGCTCTCCCAGACCCCTCTCTTCCTCTGGGGGGCAGACGCCCACCCGCCGAGCCGGAGAGAACACGCTCACGCGCACCGGGCTTGCTTTTGGGACTTTACTCCGACGCTGGAACCTCGCGGGAGGGGCAGCCGGGGGGCCCCGCACCCACCGAGCCCGGGTTTAGCGACAGTCGGAGGCCAGCGCCGAGATCACGTGGCTCAGGAACTTGACCAGCGAGGCGTGCAGGGTAGGGCTGAAGTCCCCGGGGAAGTGCCGGGCGAGGGTCACCAGCAGGCAGTGGCCCAGGAGCTGCGGAGAGAGGGGTCGTCCCACCCGGGGTCCGTGCGTCCCCGCCGCGTCCCTGCTGGGAGCAGCGGTCCCGCCCCGGCCCGCGGGCTCACCTGGAAGCTGGCGGGGTCCACTCGCAGCTCGCGAACGTGCCGGTGGCGCAGAGCCGACAGGGCGCGTGGCAGGTCTTCCAGGTGCTCCACGGCGAGGGTCAGCGCGTCGGCCACCTTCTGGCCGTGGGCTTTGACCTGGGTGGAGCCGAGGCTCAGGTCCAGGTGGAGGAAGTAGGTCGTGGTGGAGGGGAAGCCCAGGAACATCCTGCAGGAGGAACGCGAGAGAGGTGCGTCCGGGCGGGAGGGGCTTGGGGAGCAAAGGAGGGCGAGCCGGAGGGCGCGGGGCCTCCGCACCTCTCCAGGGCCTCGGTCGCGTAGACGCCGACGTTGCTACCCATCTTCTTCCACAGCGCGCGCACGGTCGCCCTGTCCGCCGCCGCCAGCGCCATCGTGAGCCCGGCCCGCGAGCGCGCCTGCGCCCCTGGGCGGCGGGTCCCCGCGGCCTCCGCGGGCGCCACTCCGCGGGCGCCGCGCCTCTGCTCGCAGAGTCCAGTCCCGAGGGGTCCGGGAGCGCTCGACTGAGCGTCTGCTCCGGCCTGGCACACTTCCAATCACCCTGGACGCCGAGGCCGCCATTTTTGCGGTGTTTGCTGTATGGAAACGAATATTTAAAGTGTATTATTGTTAGTAGATGACATGAATTTTAGCACGCATTCTGGCCTGGAACGTCAGCTTATTCTACCTCCCTCCCGAGTCCTTTATGGCACCTCCCTGAGTCTGTGTCTCATTTATTGTATAGAATGAAGATACCGAGTTTTCCTTCCCAAGATTGTTGTGAGAGTTAAATGGATAACAAATGTCAAGTGCCTGGCTCCCAGCTCTTGTTCCTCTCAGGACAATGGACGTTTATCGAGTTCCTAGGATGTATCCCACTAAACACAGCTAATACCTACGCAGTGCTCGTTCTGTGCCAGGAAACACTCTACAGTGTTTTTTAAAAATTGTGGTGAAATTCATATAACTTAAAATTTACCATCTTAGTGGCCGGCCCCATGACCCAGCGGCTAAGTTCACGCGCTCTGCTTCAGCAGCCGAGAGTTTGGCTGGTTCGAATCCTGGGCGGGAACCTGACATGGCTCATCAGGCCACGTTGAGGTGTCCCACATAGTACAACCAGGGGCGCTCACAACTAGAATATACAGCTATGTACTGGGGAGCTTTGGGGAGAAAAGGAAGGGAACAAAAAGAAGATTGGCAACAGTTGTTACCTCAGGGACCAATTAAAAAAAAATTACCATCTTAGCCATTTGAAAGTGTACAATTCAGTGTTTTGAATCACATTCACAATGTTGTGCAACCGTTACCACTCTCTGGTTCCAGAAAGTTTTAGTCATCTCAAATAGAAACCCTGTGCCCTTTAGCAGTCACTCTGTAACCCCTCTCCTCCAGCCCCTGGCAGCCACCAATCTGCTCTTCTGTTTGGTGGCTTTGCCTATTCTGGACATTTCCTAGAAATAGAGCAGACAGTACACGGACTTTTGTGTCTGGCTTCTTTCCGCATCATAGCATGTGTCAATACTTCATGGCTTCTATGGCCAAATAACATTCCTCTGTATGGATAGACCACATTTGTTTATCTGTCATCCACTAACGGACACTTGGGTTGTTTCCACTTTTAGCCCAGGCCTTCCTTTTTCCTGGTAATAAAATAAGGAAGACTGTCTCTTACTGAGAGCTCATGCTGTGCCACCAGCAGTGCTAAGAGCATCACACACTGAGGCAGACCTGCCATCGCATTTTCCAGTGGCAACTCTTGGGCCCAGGGAGGAAAGGGCGTGCCTTCAGGGAGGGCTCAAGGCTGGATGGCTGCCAAGACCAGACACCTCGAGCCCTCACTCTGAGGCCACAGGCACTAGGAGGAGGAAGCACGTGGAGTGTGGCTCCCTGGCCCCGGCTCTCCTCTTCAATGCCCCGCTGGGGGTGGTTGGGGGGCCTCAAAGGTGCCAGCCTCAGGGCAGTGTAGTGGGTGCCGAGCTGGGCCCCAAAACTGGGCCTCCAGACCCTTGATGGCCCCAGGATATCAGTGTGAGCATCCTGGGAGTGGTACCAGGTGAAAGGCATGCATTGCCTGGCACTTGCCATTGCACTGGTCACCCCTGATTCCATCTAGACTGCATGTATTTGGAGGCAACTCCAAGAGAGCATGACCTCTGTCCTCCTCAGCGCCCAACTCTGGGAGGAGCGCTGGGAGAGCTCAGAGGTCCTAGGCTGGAGGGCTGCCAACTCTCAGATCAAGTGTGTGTGTGTATATGTGTGTGTGTGCCCTTAAATGTAAAGGTGAAAAATGAATTCATTGCTTGAATAAACCCGTGTTGAGTCTGCAAGGAATGAAATGCAGGAAGAGGCCAACGTGCATAGCAAAGCTCTCCAGGGTGACAGTGGGGGGTTGCAGCAAACCCCAGGCAGCCTACCAGCTCCACTCCCTCCTCCACCCTTTTCTTCCCTTCCCTCTCTGCCCGCTCCTGGGAGGTCCTTGATCAGACAGACCACCCCCACCCCTGGCACATTCGCGGACACAGAGAACCGAGGCACGCAGGCTGCATGCAGCCCATCAGACTTTATTGAAAGGTAGGGAAGTGCGGGCACGCGGAGCGCAAAGGGCCCCGGGCCGCGGGCAGGGATCGCCGTGGCTCCAGCTTAACGGTATTTGGAGGTCAGCACGGTGCTCACACTGCTCAAGAACTTGTCCAGGGAGGCGTGGACGGCAGGGGTGAAATCGTTGGGGAGGTGGACGGCCAAGGTGGACAGCAGGCAATGACTCAGAAGCTGCGGATCGAGGGGGTGTCAGGGGGCGTCGGGGCCGCGGCCGCCCGCGCTCCACTTCTGAGACCCACGGGGTTCCCTGCCCTCTGGGAGGGCCCGCTGCGCCTCCCGCTCGTCTCTCCCGCCCGGCCAGGCCCGGCCCCCGGGCTCACCTTGAAGTTGACGGGGTCCACGCGCAGCTTGTGTGCGTGCAGGTCGCTCAGATTCGACAGGGCGCCAGGCAGGTCGTCCAGGTGGCCCACGGCGAGAGTCAGCGCGTCGCCCACCTTCTTGCCGTGGGCCTTGACCTGGGCGGAGCCGTGGCTCAGATCGAAGTGGGGGAAGTAGGTCTTGGTGGTGGGGAAGCCCAGGAACATCCTGCAGGGAGAGGAGAGTGAGCGGGGGGCGGGGGTGGGGGGGCGGCGGCGGCGGGGGGCCGGCGTGGGTGTGGGGTGGCGGGGTCGGGGGCAGGGTCCGGAGCCTCGGATTCGGAAGAAGGTGCTGGCCGGGCTCCTCCGGCTGGTCCGCGGTCAGACCCTGAGATCTTGGGGGTCTTTGCACCAGCCGGGCCAGAACCCACCGAGGGGTTGCTGGCAGGCCCCTGGGGCGGCTGCTGTGCCCGAGGGTCCCGGCCGGGGAAAGGAGGGTCCTCACCTCTCTAGGGCCTCTGCGCCAAACTCGCCAGCGTGGCCGCCAACCTTACTCCAGGCGGCCTTGACGTTGGTCTTGTCGGCGGCAGACAGCACCATGGTGACTGTTTCTGAGTCTGTGCTAGGACCAGCAGCGGCACAGCAGCGTACGCGGCGGGCCGAGCGCGCAGCTTTATAGTCCGGGCGCGGGGGGCACGCCCGCCCGGGCCGCGCTCATTGGCTGGCGAGGAGCGGGGCGCGCGGCGGCGCCGCAACCGCAGGAGACGCCGGCGGGGTTCTGCGCCAACGAGAGCTGTGGGACTTCGCTGCTGGTGGGCGCGGGGACCCGGCCAGGACGTTCCTCCCTCCCACAGGCTGCATCCCCCTCCCCGGAGGCTATATCCTTGCCCCCAGGCTGCAGAGCCAGTTGGTTTGGGGTGGGTTAGTGCGGGCTCCTCCACCAAGTGAGGTCAGTGACACCCGCCAGGGTCCGTGAGCATCCCCGCACCCCCCAGGCTGCGCTCTCCTGGGATCGGAAGGGAGTAAGTTGGCCCCGCTACCCACTCGGGACCAGGCTTGACTCCCGCGGGACGTGTTTTAACTTGGGCAGAATCAGCGAATGAATGGGCGACGGAGTACGGGACGGAAGAAAGGCCTCGTCTAGTCGGGGCAGACAGAGATGCGCCCTTGCTCACCTGGACTCAAGAATTCCCCCGAGGAGTCCCTCCTGCTCCCCTTCAGCTCCCTTTATCCACCAGTCATGTGTGAGCGCCAGCCGGGAAGGAACAACGTGGAGGGGCAGAATCCGCAGGGCTGGGGGGCGCCCCCGGCTCAGGCTCCTTCCCAGGGTGGTGGTCCCTGCAGCCGCGGGTCCGGGGCTCACAGAGGCCGCCCCTCCTATTTGGGGCCCCTGTGTGATTGTGTGATTGACTCTCTCTGTCCTTCACTGGCGAGTGGTCCTGGTTTCAACGACACCCCAGTCCCCCAGATTGTGCCTGACACAAGACTCACTGGGTAACTAGTAGTTGAATTGATAAATAAAGCAACTGGCTGAACCAGACCTGAGCTTTCAGGCTAGTTAGGGACACAGACGATCATCCACTCATTACTCAACTACATACATAGTCGTAAACCTTCTCAAAGGCCCTGAGAAAGCGTGGAGGGAGTGGATGAAGCATTCAAGGATGTCAGGGTTAGTCTGAGGATGACGGTGGGCTTCCCTGAGGAGGTGAGCCTGGAGGATGAGTAGGTAATAGGCAGAGTAGGATGGAGAGGGAGCTCCCCATTTTCTTGTAGGGGAGCAGAGGGAGAGAAGTCCTCTGTGGCTGCAGAATGGATGTGGGGGGATGTGGGGATGATGAGGCTGGCAGACCCTGCAGGATGGGAGAAGGGAGGGACTTCTGGTGAAACAGTGAGAAGGGGCAAGAATTCCAGCTGGTGCCTTCCCCTTACTGGTGACAAGTGATAGTCCTTTGGGCTAGTTGGTGGGAGGTGGGTACTGAGGAGGTGAAACATCAGAACTTGGTGAGGAGAAAAGGGAGTGAGAAGTCATTGATATGTCCTTTCCTGGGAGTCTAGAGAACACTGCTTTGGGGAGTGGGTTGGGTGGGCATCCTTCAGCCCAGCCCTCTGTCCCCATCCCTCCCCTAGGGCCTTCATTTGGGAGCTGCCCTGTGTGTCTAGGAGGACGTGATGGTCAAACTGACTTGGACAGAGAAGAAAGCAGCTCAGACAAGTCTCAGCAATGTTGCCTTCTGCTCTGTCCCCATGTCTGTTCTCATTTTGTCCTCACCGGACCCTCCCTAGTTCATTCCACTCTCCTTTCCTACCCTCTACCTTATTTCTGACTTTGTCCACAGCCTCAGGCTCAATCCTGGCTCTGAAGAACAAAAAGGATAATACCTTGGGGGCTTACAAGCACCAAAGACCCATCCCCAAGCCTGGGCCAACTCCCTCCTTCTGCATCTTGCTCTAATCCCTGCCCTGGGCCCTTCTAAGGCCAGAGTTGGGGAACATATCTCAGCCAATGGCTTACATTCTTAATATGGGAAAAGCTCCCACATTTATATAAGGACAAGACAAATGACTTGTGAGAACAACTGACAATGGATATTAACAGAAATATAGAAATGATCAAGTATTTCTATGAAGTAAGAAAGCTGAATAAACTGGCCAAAAGAATGTAGAGGAGATAGGTTTCAGTGAGAAGAGCGGGTTGCAGACAAATTATGGTATGCTGATATTTTAAACAATTATTTTATTGAGGTCGCATTGGTTTATAACATTGTGTAGATTTCAGGTGTACATCATTATACTTCAGCTCCTGTATAGACTGCCTTGTGCTCACCACCAATAGTCTAGTTTTTATCCATCACCAGACATACGTACCCCCACCCCCCTGCCCTCCGCTTACTTTTTGATAAATATCGATGATATTTTCCACACACACAAAAAGTGTAGTCATAGATGTGCTTGTGTCCCCTCAGCACGGAGCCAGCATAGGAGCCAGAGGGCTCAGTCCCACACTGTTAATGGGGCTTCTTCTGCAGGGGTTGGGGCAGGGCGTGGGGACTCTCTCTCCTTACTTTGAATAACATAAAAAGTGTGTGTGAGAGAGTGTGTGAAAGCCTGGATGGATTTTAGTACCTTAAGTGTTTTTCTATGTTTAAATAAAAACGAGTTGGGTTGTGTGGCAGAGGAAGAGTGCATGGTGAAGAGCGGGGAGCATCTCATGGTGAAGAGCGGGGAGCATCTCCCAGCTGTTCAGAGAGGTCCATGTCCAGAAAGAAAGGAGTATGCAGGGGGCTCACCACCCTCCTGAAACTTTGATCCCCTGCAGCAAGTTGCCCTGGAGATAGGGGCTGGGCTGGAGATGCTGATGGTGTTCCTAGGTGGCTGCAGAGCCGGTCGGCCTGCAGAATTCTAGGGCTTCAGCACCTGGACAGGGGCCTTACTGAAGGTGGCTCACAGCGCGGCGCAGAACCGCTGGCAGACCCCAGGAGCCTCTGGCTGGAGAATGGGGAAGCAATTAGCTGGGGGATGCAGGGCTGGGCACGCAATGCCTGGTAACCTGCAGGAACGAGGGAACAGGTGCTCTGCTAAGTGCCTTGACTCAGGTCCTCTCTCCCCCGCCCCCACTTGCCTGCCGCCCCCAAGGATTGCTGTGAGGCAGGGAGGGTGCGCCAGGCTGCGGCGCCCATTCCAAGCAACCTTCCTTCTGGTGGAAAGGAGGTGGAATCTTCTAGATATTGTCCAATGCCTGCATTTGCACGGGAGCCGCCTATGTTTGTGGTTTTTTTGATCTAGATTATATGTTCAACGGGCATCAGTCAGAGACTTCAAACAGGGTGGCGATCTTACAACTCCCCACGTCCCATGCCAGGGAGGAACCCTGCGAAGTCGGGCACCTCCCAGCACAGGAGCACAGTGCAGCGATTCCCTGAAGCATGTGTCTTAGCTCCACTCCCTCCTCCACCCTTTTCTTCCCTTCCCTCTCTGCCCGCTCCTGGGAGGTCCTTGATCAGACAGACCACCCCCACCCCTGGCACATTCGCGGACACAGAGAACCGAGGCACGCAGGCTGCATGCAGCCCATCAGACTTTATTGAAAGATAGGGAAGTGCGGGCACGCGGAGCGCAAAGGGCCCCGGGCCGCGGGCAGGGATCGCCGTGGCTCCAGCTTAACGGTATTTGGAGGTCAGCACGGTGCTCACACTGCTCAAGAACTTGTCCAGGGAGGCGTGGACGGCAGGGGTGAAATCGTTGGGGAGGTGGACGGCCAAGGTGGACAGCAGGCAATGACTCAGGAGCTGTGGATCGAGGGGGTGTCAGGGGGCGTCGGGGCCGCGGCCGCCCGCGCTCCACTTCTGAGACCCACGGGGTTCCCTGCCCTCTGGGAGGGCCCGCTGCGCCTCCCGCTTGTCTCTCCCGCCCGGCCAGGCCCGGCCCCCGGGCTCACCTTGAAGTTGACGGGGTCCACGCGCAGCTTGTGTGCGTGCAGGTCGCTCAGATTCGACAGGGCGCCAGGCAGGTCGTCCAGGTGGCCCACGGCGAGAGTCAGCGCGTCGCCCACCTTCTGGCCGTGGGCCTTGACCTGGGCGGAGCCGTGGCTCAGATCGAAGTGGGGGAAGTAGGTCTTGGTGGTGGGGAAGCCCAGGAACATCCTGCAGGGAGAGGAGAGTGAGCGGGGGGCGGGGGTGGGGGGGCGGCGGCGGCGGGGGGCCGGCGTGGGTGTGGGGTAGCGGGGTCGGGGGCAGGGTCCGGAGCCTCGGATTCGGAAGAAGGTGCTGGCCGGGCTCCTCCGGCTGGTCCGCGGTCAGACCCTGAGATCTTGGGGGTCTTTGCACCAGCCGGGCCAGAACCCACCGAGGGGTTGCTGGCAGGCCCCTGGGGCGGCTGCTGTGCCCGAGGGTCCCGGCCGGGGAAAGGAGGGTCCTCACCTCTCTAGGGCCTCTGCGCCAAACTCGCCAGCGTGGCCGCCAACCTTACTCCAGGCGGCCTTGACGTTGGTCTTGTCGGCGGCAGACAGCACCATGGTGACTGTTTCTGAGTCTGTGCCGGGACAGCAGTGTACGCGGCTGGCAGAGCGCGCAGCTTTATGGTCTGGGCGCGGGGGGCACGCCCGCCCGGGCCGCGCTCATTGGCTGGCGCGGTGCCGGGAGCTGCGGGCTGGGAAAGCGCTGAGCCGAGCGAGGGGGGCAGGCAGGACTCCCTGCGCCCGCGCCGGGAGCCAGCTCTCCTCCGCACCCTCGATTCTCTCTCCTGTGGTTCCGGGAGCCCACGCGGGTTCTGAGCCACCCAAACCCACTGTCACTCGCCTTTGGCTCGGGCTGGGGGATAGCTTCCAATGTGTATATTTGCGGGTTCCGAAGTGAAACAAGCTGCTTTGGCACCAAACTTTGCCCCAGGCCGAGAGCTGCAAACTGTCCGTGTAAACGACGCGGGGAAGGAGATAATGTGGGGGACGTCCTCCAAGCCCTCCTCCCCCGGTGGTGGGCAGGCGCTCCCGGCAGCAAGGGGTAACGGGCGGCCTGGACCGCGTGGGCGCGGGTTTCGGCCGAACCACCGTCCGGACTTAGCCTCCAGCGTCCCCCTTCGGACTTGGGCGCCGACGGTCCCGG